CCATCAATCCCTTATACTTTATTCTTCCTTTAAACACGTAAAAATGTTAAGACACAACCTTTCGCCTTATGGTACCACTCCACTGCCTTATTCTCTGATGAATCCTCCAGCAGTCAGTATACTGCAATTAGTGTTGAATGGGAGGTGACGGTGTCCCACGCACGCACAGCTTCCAAATGCCAAGTGACAATAGCAGACAGCCTGGCTGCCTCAGTGATGCAAGAGCCTGCAGACATCTGGGAATGTCGAGTTGCTAAGGGTAGTCAGAGACGGAGGCAAGGGGAGGGGGCATGTAGGTTCATTGGGAAAAAGAGAGGCCAAGATGGCAACACGGGGGGAGGGTCTAGGGGAAATGAAGCTGGCAAGGTTGAAGGTTGAGGGAGCGGAGCGCAGGGCCTCGACGGGGAGGCTGCAAAGCTGGAATGGCGAGATGGGTGCACAAAAAGTGGTTCTCCAGACGGGGAGAGTGTGGACGATGCAGTCTGTCAGGTCTCCGGTCCGTCAGCAGAGTGTCTCTGTTCCCCTCAGGCCGCACAACACAGCCCTGCCTCATTTTGCGCTCTCATCCGCTCGCATACCATGTCCTCACGCACCCTCATGTCCCCGCCAGTGCACTTCACTGCACAGTGATTTTGCCACAGGGATAAAAAAAAAAAAAGGATTGTTATGTGTTTGTCGTTTTTATGAAAAATTGCATTGTAAGTTGAGGATTATGCAGATGGTGCCGAATGTTTGCCGGAGGTGATTCCTTTATTATTTAGGATCCCACGCACGCAGAGCGACTGAACATGCAGTGGATACTTTGAAAAGTGGAGCTGCATTGTCATCTGCTGGAAGAAATGTAGCAGTGCGCCTAGGTTTTTTGAAAGATGGCTGTTTCACTGTAAGCTGTTCCTTTACCCAGTAACAGTATGGTAACAAGATGCATTTTCTATCATAGGTATTACATTTAAGGCATTTGGTGCAGTTTTTTCCCTAATTTTCTCCATATGAGATCATTAAATTCCCCAAATGATCACAGGACAACACAAGGAAGAGCAGTAATGCTTTAGTCTTTAATCTTTGGTGATTTATATTGGCCCGCTGGAAGCTTGTGTCAAATACTAATTCAGGAATGCACTCCTGAGAATATCTCTCACATGATAGCACGATCCTTATTATAGTCCGCCTCTCTGTCCTCACATACCCACGTACACAGAAACACATACCAACACACACAATCCTGTATGCACACTGCAATGTGAGACGGCGAATGAGGAGAGCATCAACGTGTGATGGTTGGCTCTCATTTTAGTCAAGACTTTTATCACAAGGTTCAGGGTGTGATCCAGAGCGTCAATTAACCTGTCTTCCTCCGCCACCTCAGTAACCCCCAGCGACCTGACATGAACCACGATACAAGGTAGCCTAAGATATATTCTGCTAAAGAAAATATCAAGTTTAGAAATTCCTTAATTCTTTCTTAAATGTATCTAAAAAAAAACCTATCCATGAGGTGAGGTAACTCAAATGTTTGAATGCTAATGAACAACTTTCATGCTTCTAGGGAGGTTTTTTTATGTTAATACTTTAACTATTACAAGGTAGAACTGCAAATAGATTAGATAGCAATTTATTGTGGTGACATGATTTGTGGATATTAGAGTCTCCTAATAGTTACTGTACCATCTGGATTTGTAAATGTGCAACTTTATGCCTCTACCACTGATTTATAATCCTTACATGTTGGCACGGGAGTTATTCAATAATAAAACAAGTAGCCTTACACCTCAGGGTAACCTCATCTCATCAAGATTCTGTCCTTGTTTCTCACTTTCTTCTCGTCACTGTTACTTTTTCTCTGCACACACTATAGGAGCCGTGCCAGGTTTGTACTGTGCCTCCTCAGAGCAGTGCCCCGTGAAGAGTAGCCTTCCGCTATGCCAACACTGGCTTTTGGCCAGTTTGTTAAAAGTGCCAGCATGGGATTGGAGCCAGCTTACAAAAGGTCATCATACCCCAGACGGGATCAAGTGACTTCTGCTGAACTGCAGTGTCACTCAGAACATCACTTCATCGCACACGCTGTCACACAATGAGACGTCCCTGCTTGTGGTTGGACTAGCAGATAATATGTAGAGTGAGATAGTACAACAACCTTACCAGCACTGAAGCATCTGTGTAAATGTAGTTCTAGACTGAAGGTTGACACAATGTCTGTTGTCATTATTGGTTGTGAAGTGCATTATATTGTAAAAATCCATTTCTGATATTTTTTTCAGTACCATATATTTATTTTTAGTGTGTTTTTATGCTTGTTTAGGGTTGGACATGGCTGCATTGGGCACAGTGCCATCCACCAAATGCTTGCTGGACTGCTTCTCATCAGTGTATGGAGATGGAAGGATTCACAGGTACACATAACTGACAGACACATTATCAATATTAACAATATGTCATATCACACTTGTTGGTGTTTATAATTCTCATATTTGTATTTGTATTTTTAGCTACAAGTCGACATTGTTTTTTGTAGCATTTTATGTTAATTTTTACTAATCTGTATATACATATATTTTACACTTGCTTTGGCAAATGACTGTTTCTCATGCCAAGAAAGCTCATTTGAATTGAACTAAATTGAATCACCAATGGACAACCAAATGGATACATACAGAAATATACCCACCCACTCCATGTTCTTGCAGCAGTAGGAAAGTCTATTAAAGGATGCATTTTGTTACTGATGAAAGATTACCTGGAAGAAATTATGTATTTTTTTCCATTACTCCTACTCAGCAGTGAAATATAATTAACTTCAATTACTGGCTTCACAATGAACAAGCGCTGTATATTAGCACAGTGTGGGCGTAGGGGATAGAGTTCCCAACATATCTGAATTATCATCAAGGTTAACATCAGTAATCATCACTGAAAGACCTTGTGTCCCTTAAAACATATTATGAGGATTTAAAGAAATGCTTGGTTTTCCTTCAATAACTATAATAGATAATCATTTACCGTTACATCACATTAATATAGTGTGTATATAAGGCACTTCTTCTTGTTACACTGGCTTGATATGATCATGTGGCCATATGTGTGTTACTCCATGGACTAAAAATGCTATGTCAAAACAGTACCTTAACAAAGAAGAATTTTAACCTGCTGTATTATTAAACTTGTAATATAGTGCCTTTGGTGAGGCACATTAGCAGCAGAAATGAAATGGACTATTTGCTATATGAGTTCCCAGCTCCTGTCAGCAGGCACTAAAATTTAAATGATGAATTACTCCTTAGAGAGAGATGCAAAGATGGGAGCATGGTTTTCACTTTAAAGACCTACTGCTGAGGTTCAAAGAGATGATTTATCTGATAATCAACATGTAATCCTGCTGGAACTTCCTAAGAATACATCTTTCAAATATCGTCATAATTCTTAGCTTTTTTTTGGAATGTAAGGTTACTTGAAATGACTAAATTACCTTTTATAGCTATCTCCAAATCCAAGAACAAAGAACTGCTGACTGTTCCTGCGGTCTGCAATCTGAGGGTCATTGTATTATCTTAATGGCAGTATTGAAAGAGTATGTGGTTGTTAATACACAGTCTGTGAACGATTAGGATTATAACCTTTTCCTGAATAAATACTGACCAGACCATTCATTTGACGTATAAAGTCTTAAAACACCATTACATACCCTGTCTCCACTCCGCCTTGTTGTGACATTTGAATTCCCTACTACTAACAGGAAGGAGTTTAGTATATGTTGTTTTTCAGACAACAAGCATTATTCAATTAATGCATAGGGTTAGATACAGAAAAAGTAGTTTATAGGCTTATAGATGTTAGTTCTATAAGGGTAATAACATTTTTTAACATATTTAAACATTCATTTATTTGGTAAGTATAAGTATAAAGGAGCAAATAAAAAAAATAGAAGATGTGTAGAGTCTTATAACAGGACTAAAACACTTATTTTGAACCAATATAAAGTTATTTATATTAAATATATTGCTAAATCATCGGGATAATATGGGTAAATATTGGATACAAATACATGTAGGTTAGTTTTTACATCCATCACTGAGCATTTTGATGTGAAGCCAGTTATTTCTTCTTGAGGATCATGCGATAATTATACAAATTATTTTGTAATTTTCCTGTTGCTGTCTTTTCTCATGAGTGGGGTCAAGATTTAGGAAAATATAAAATATTGACTGTAAAAACAAAACAACATTTTTGAACAAAAAC